GATCAAATATCCATGGTTGCCTCTAAAAACAGGAACTTTACAGAAAGAGAGGTCAGCCAGGTTTAGTTTGTCAGGAGGCAAGAGGAACTGGCTCCATATGCAGTATTAACTAGTACTTTTAGAAGATAATTCGGTAGGTCATTCCAAAATAACCAACATTCTGTGAACAGATCCCTGTGTCCTCTGCCCCACTGTTTGAGTGAGCCACAGGACCCGCTGCTTCTAGCGTTGTCCCATCAGCAGTCCCAAGAACTGCATGCAGAGAAACACAACTTTAGCTGGACGTGGAGGGGTCACGTCGCCTGCAAAAGACAGCAGAAGACACCAGTGGAAATTCTTTGAATTCATCTTGCTCCCCAATTCTTCCTATGAGCTTCTTCTAAAAAACATTTTAAGTGATAGGATTAGGAAGTTGAGAGACAAATGGCCTAATTTGCCTCCATGTCTTATGTCTAAAGTTTGATCACTGAAAAAAGTTTGTACATCTCTGTGAAAGAAGAGAGAAAATGGAAAAAAGGAAGTGGTTGAAACACTGCCAATGACTAGGCAGTCAACAGATATATAGATAGAGATGTACATATAGATATAGATGATATAGATAGATATATAGATACAGATATGTGGTCTTGTATATTCCTTACCTTGTGGAGCTAATCCAAGCTTAGATATGCTACCAAACCTAACTTTTTAATGCTCCCAGGAACACCATAGAGACACAGAAAACTAATAATTATGTACTTTGTATTTGTGTGGTTTTTCCCAGCATGTAAAGGGTTTTCAAAGGCTAGTGGTCATCAAGATTTTAGGAAGAAAAACCAAAATTAAAGCCAAGATCTTCTAATTTCTATTCAAAACGTATTCTGCTTATTTTTTTCTTTTTTTATAATTTTTTCTTTTGCATTATGTAGTTTATGCTCCAGAACAAATGAGGATTCAATACTGTTAAGCCACACTGAGGTTTTTCCAAAGATTTTCTAGGGCTTTTATTCAAGGAAAGAGCAGAAATCCAGAGAGAGGGATTGATTGTTAATAACAATATAATTATTGTATTAACAATTATTGTTCATAATCCTTATCTCTGAGGTGATTTTCATTAATTTTTCTTTTGTGTACTTTTTCTTAGTTTCCAATGTTTTTTAAAAATGTGTTCTGCTTGTATAATCAAAGGAAAAATTATGAATGCTTTTTAATTTAAAAAATACTCATGGAAAAATGAAGAACAGCATCACTCAATGGTTAGCACATGACTCCAGAACCTGGATAATTGTCAGCTCAGAGACACTGTGGGAAATATTTAACTTTTACATGATGCAGTTTTCTTCTAAGTGAGATCACAGAGGCTCTTATTCATTCTACCTTTTTACTGAAATATTATATCAATATGTGAGACTATTTGGTAAACCAGTTAGAGCTATTTCTAGTTATTAGTTATTATTAAGTATCTTGGGGCCGGCCCGGTGGCGCACTGGATAGTGTGCCGCTTGGGAAGCGTGGCGGCGCTCCCACCCGAGGGTTCGGATCCCACATACAGACCGGTTCCCGCTCACTGGCTGAGCGAGGCGCGGGAGCA